TGCATGAATACATCGAAGGCTCTGGGAAGCTCTGGGGCGGTGGGGGGCGGGGGAGAGAATGAAGGTGTTCAGCGCATCTCTCCCTGACTGTGTCTACCTGTAATCCCCATCGTCCTCTTTCCACAGCCTTTTGTCACCCCCTCGAATGCAGTTTAGGAAGTGCACTTTAAAATACCTTGTCTGTATACCTTTATTTTAAAGCAAAGATTCTCTGCCCCAGATTTTGGTCACTGCACCAGCCTCATGGTTTGGGCCACACCTGTGTCCCACCTGCATTATTCTCTTTTCAGTGTTCTTTCAGTCCATTTTTGAAAGGCTTTGAACTTCTTTTCAAAAGAGTCTTTATATCATAGCAATATATGGAAAATCAGTTTCTAAAAAATCTAGAAGAGTATCTCAGTGTTTAAAAAAAATAAAAAGATTGGTAAACCTCTAAAATGATCTTGGGAATATACCACATTTGGAAGATTCTGTTTAAGTTCATTCGCTGTGTGTGTTTCTCCTCTTTGATGGAACTGTGAGGAAGTTAGCTCCCACTGCCCTTGAGAGTGGAGAGCACTGGAAAAGTACTCAAGGGTGAGTGGGGGAGGGGGATTCCTGCAAATTTATCTCGGTGAGGTTGGTTTCTTGCTGCAGTTGCTTGGGCCATGACAGACCGGGTCTGCCTGACAGAACCTTTCCCCATTCCTCCTTGTTCTGTGGTTTTCTCATCATTGCCCTTGTGATGGCTGAAGGTACCCCTAGTTACTTGGAGGCAGATGGGTGAGTTACAGCTGAAAGACCAGATTCTTGGAGAGGTGCTAGCCTTGGTAGGTGGATCACTGACTGGTCCCAAATGGGGTGAGAAGCGCCCAGCTGCATCTGGAGCAGGAATGATTACGCTCTGGTGGACAGGGAGAAAGCGGTCGGACCCTTAGGACTTGCTGGTGGCCCATGTTAATGGAAGGTCTGAGTATAGGCAGTTCTTAGCAACAATAGCATCCCTGCCCCCAAACTTTCTAGATGGTTTTTTAGATGGTCGGTCAGGGTTTGTTATTAAATCAACTCTGTTGGTTACAAAAACAACTAGATGAGGTAGGGTGATCTTCAGCTGAGCTGTGTCCTCCTAGAACGAAAGAAGGGGAAAATCCTATGAAATGGAGAAGAGGGAGTTGCTCTAAGGTCTTAATGGACAGGGTGACAAACACCTGTGTGTCCTTGATCAGCGCTGTCCTCCTCACAGGCTCACCACGCAGGAGTTGCCAGTGTAGATGGGGTGGAGGTGCCTCCCCCCATACAGGTGATGGGGTGGCCTGCTCCATAGCAGCTTCAACTTTCCTCAGCATTTCCTTAGTAAGTTCTTTAAGGCTTAAAAAAAAAAATACTTAAGAGACTAGATAGTGAAAGTGTTTTTTGCCTGCAAGCATAACTTTGCTATAGAAGATGAGGGAACATAGCAACCACAAGAGAAAGAGGCCAAAAGTAAAAGCCGTATGACCTTATCGCTCAGAGGAGTCTGTGGGGTACTACCCGTGTGCACCGCCATCATCATACTCCCTCATGTGCGTGCACACATACACGCTGGGGGGGGGGGGGTGTAGCAAAGAGGTGAGGCCCCCTGGCTCTGAAGACACACTGCCTGTGAGCTGATGTGCCCAGAGCCCTGCTCAGGCTTTGGTCTTCCCTGCTTACTTGGCCCCTTACCTGTTGAGGCTGATGGGTACCTGGTGGTGGGACCTGTGGTGGCTTGAAGGACCTTGTGGGGGGTGGGGAATGAGCGAGCCTGCACCACCCTTCCCGTATTTTTCACGTACTCAGAGGGCCTCGAGCCTTTTTGTAGTCAGGATTCATTTAGGTAACTAATGCATTCTATTATCTCATGAGGTGTCATATAAAAAAGCATTTTTAATTTGCTAATCATAATAGACCTGTGTAATAAGAATGATGGACTCTCTATGGCTCTTCTAGCTCCCAATTAACGTCCTGTCAGCTGGTTGCAAATTAGTTGTCCAGAGCCTGGGAATTACTTTCTTGGCCTGCTGATGTGCTTTCTTTTTTTTTTTTTAAAGTTTATTTTTGTTAGCAATCTCTACACCCAGTGTGGGGCTTGAACTCATGACCCCAAGATCAAGAGTCGCATGCTCTTCCGAATGAGCCAGCCAGGTGCCCCAGTAATGTGTTAAGTTTTAAAAAACAACAACAACAACAACAAACACAACTTGGTGGTGGGGCAGAAGCTCCCTGGTTTTCATAGCCTCCTGCCCCCTACTCCCTCTTAGTCCTGGTTGGTTCTGCTTCTTGGCCTAGCCTGTGGACTGTAGTGGCCATCTAAGCCTGTATTCCATCTTAAGAGAGGCACAGCGGGAGAGGATGCTTAGGAGCCTCAGTGAAAGCAGTGGGCTGGACGGAACTACACACACGTTCACACGCATGCATGTGTGCGCATACACACTCACATGCACACAGGTTGCGCCCATATCAGACTCCTGGTTTTGCTTTTTGCTCCACTGGGGAGACGGGGCCAGGGGCATAAAATCTCTCAGTATGATCTTTGCAACTTCATGTGAATCTGTAATTACTTAAAAAAAAAAAAAAATTGAACCAAAAGGGCCTCATCAGGTGTTTTGAGTTTCATTCATAAACAAATCTAGTAGCCTGAAAGTGTTAACTGCCCACAAAAGGCAAACGAGCTCATAGGTACAAAATTGTCTGGGATGAATTTATGGCGCCCAGAGGTGCTCGTCCAGTGGCTTGATGTACTCTGCGCTTTCCCTTCACCTCGTTTGAGATCACTTTATATTAAAAACCTTGGTTTTAATCTATCACATCTAATTTTGCACATTCTGCCATGTGGAAGATGCTCTGCCATGAACCCTAGTTAAATGAGGCCATAAAGAAATGCAGATAAATTGCTTTCCTTAGTTTTCAGGTCCTATGTGACTTGAATTCACACGTGGAGATGAGGAGTAGGTTGGGATGAGTGACAAGACTCTGCCGAGAGAATCCAAGAAAACACGCTGTATGATCCACGTGTATCGGGGAATGTTTCCCTTCCCCAAACCTTTCCGGGACTTGTTAGTTGCTTAGCTTCAGACGTTTGCTATTCATATCACAGATGGAGGAAGTTGCAGACACCTTTACAAACATCCGTGAGAGGCTGTCTAGGAGGAGGGAGGGGGGTGATGAAGGGACTCTTCTGTGGTTCTCTCTCTAGAGCTTCCGAGATGAATGTAGCCTTCTCAAGTGACACCTAAGTATATATGCTAGACTCTGCAGTTGGTGATGTTCTTTCTGCCAAAAGTACAGAAAAGCAAAATAGCAAACACAGGGCTGAAGTGTAGTCAGATGCATGGAAAACAATACCTATGATGGGCAGTCGGAAGTTTATACCCGGAGTAAATGTGTGGCGCACATCCGTACCAAGGAGTGGCATTCACATCCATAAATAGGGGAGTTAGAAACTGCCTGTGTGGTGAATTGTTAAAGGAGACAACCCAGTTGCGGAAAAACTTATAATACCCGGTTTCACAAAGTAACCTATATTTGAGTGTATTGGGTTTGTAGTGACTATATGAGTGTAGAGGAAGGCTTGACATGTATACACTGGGTTTTCACCACTGGTTACCATGAGGAAGGGGGGTGAGTGGAACAGTGAACAAAGGGAAAAAGACTTCAAACAAAAAAATGAAAGGAGTGTGAGAAATGTTTCATCCAGGGAAAATAGATTTACTTTGTGTGTGTGTGTGCGTGTGTGCATGCTTAGAGAGATGATAGCATAACTATAAAAATGTAACTGGGATTGATTTCAAGGTGTTGGGCTTTCAGCTGACTTTTACATTCCTGCTTAAATGTCCTCTGATTGAGTATTTTGTGATGAGCATTTACATTTTTATAAAAGAAACCCAGTCTTAAAGCTGTATTCATATTGAGGAAATGTTCTCTCATATTTAAAGGCACTCAGGCTCAAGACCTTTGGGTGGGAGGAGGAGTAGAGTCAGAAAATGTGGAAGAGGCAACTCTCCCTGGGGCGCTGATGACAAACCAAGTTCAAGTCCCAAAGGAGATGGAGAAAAGCTCTTCTGGGCCTTGGGGACAGAGCGACCTGGGTTTGTGTATTGGAAATGTCCATTTCTTATGACCTTGACCTTGGCCATGTGACCTTAGTCACAGACTTTATCTGTGTCCCAATTTTTCTTTGTAAATTGAGGAGAATACTATTGGGTCATTGTGCCTAATACATGACAGGCATTTAAACATTTTCCCAATGAATGAAGAATGAACGAATGCTTGCTTGATTCAGCGAAGTCACTTAGGTAAAGTCTGAGCTATGTGACACTCAAGAACTGGTAGTTTTCTCCTTCTCATCCTTGTGTTCTTTTCCTCAGCCAGTGTACCTGGGGTGTGAACTTGATAGAGTAGGGTTTTGATGGAGCCTGAGTTCCATGTTCCATGGTGTAGAGTCTTGTGTGGAGGTGGGTGTGGACTAAGCTACTGCTTGTATTTATGATTCCCTTTCCTCTTCTGTAAAATAGGTGTAATGACACATCAGAAGGCTTAAAGGAGATGATAAAGACTTCACATGATGCCTGGCAAATACTAAATGTTCATTGCATGTAGCCACTAATAAAAAAAGAGTATTCCCCAGGCTGAATAGGTGGTACTTAGTATGTGCTTCCGTAAATGGAGAGAATATTACTGAGTGCCTGACACTGAATAGGCACCTAACAGCTTGACAGATTCAAGTAATCCGAGCACAACCCATGTCCGCATCCTGACTTGGTAGGAACTGGATCCAGCATTTGCTTTCATTATGAATGAACGCTTGTTGCAGGCATTCTGCAAATGTGCCCTTGCTAATGTAGTCTTACCCAGCTAGGATTTCTAAAACAAAGAATGATTTACTATTTATAAGACGAGCCCCATGTGTTTTTCTTTACACAGATTGCCCCCGCCCCGGACTTTAAGTCTAAATTGCCAGTTTTTAAAAATGTATTTTTTTTTTAACATTCTTGTACCTGCAGAGAAAACGAGGTGCTCAAAGTCCAACTGAAGAAATACGTAGGAGCTGTCCAGATGCTGAAAAGAGAAGGTCAAACTGCTGAAGGTGAGGGGGAGACTGAGCCTGGGTGGGAAGGGGGCCAAGCTTTTTCACCTTCATAGCCCCTGTGCCTGGTACACAGGAGCCACTCAACATGGGATGAGTGCGTATGCAAATGAATTAGAGAAATAGTGCTGGTCAGAAACTCTGGAAAACAAATTAGATGGAACATCCTGCTGTGTATTCTTGGTACATACATAACTCATGTCCTAAGACTTAGTTGCTGGATTACTAGCAACAGTTGTATTAATTTGTGTGCCTAGGCAGTTTTATGTCTGAGGTCTTGAGATACTTGCCCGGTAGAGAACCTTGCAGCATGATTAAGTCCCATCAGGCCAGTGGTGAAAGCAATAGAACCCCAAAGTGGTGGAGAACCCGCGCTGTGGAATTAGGCTGACCTGGTTCCAACCCCAGTTCTGGGTAAGTTCTTTCATCTCTCCATACCTTAGTTTCCCCATCTGTAAAATGGGGTTAGTTGACAGTCCCTACCTCATGAAGTAATCCATGTAGACTTAGCACAATGCCTGCTATAGGGTACGTACTGAGTAAATTTTAGCTGTTGATATTATTAGTCAGAAATACAAGTAGAAAAATGATCACTTGACCAAGATTGCACTCAAGGAGGTGATGGCATACGCTTCGCCTCTCTGCATTTTGGTTACAGTTTAACTGTCACGAATCAACTAAAACTTGCCTCAGTTTGGCTGGAAGAAAGTATATTTCACTTTGGCTGAAATGTCTTGCAGCCTTCAGCCAACTTACCATTAAGAGATTTCCTGGGCGCCTGGGTGGCTCAGTTGGTTAAGCAACTGCCTTCGGCTCAGGTCATGATCCTGGAGTCCCGGGATCGAGTCCTGCATCGGGCTCCCTGCTCGGCAGGGAGTCTGCTTCTCCCTCTGACCCTCCTCCCTCTCATGCTCTCTGTCTCTCATTCTCTCTCTCTCTCAAATAAAAAAAAAAAAAAAAAAAAGAGGAACCAGAAAAAAAAAAAGAAAGATTTCCTTAAACACAAATGAGCTCTTGAGGTATAGACATTGTAACAAAGGGGTGGACCCTGCAGGCTAACAGGTCTTGGGAGTCTGCCAAACCTGCATTTGAATCTAGGCTCACCCAGTATAATTTGAGGCATTGGAGTTATTTTGCCATCTGTAAGTGGAAACATTCCACCATTGTCAATGGAGGTCGTTGTGAGGATTTACTGAAACAATGAATGTGAAGTTTCCAGTATGGCACCTGGCCTGTAATTGGTGTTCAGTAAATGGTAGTTATGTTTCTTTGTAATAGAGGGAGACAGGATTGGAGGCAGGATGTGGTTTGCATACTAATAACAGAAAGGCTTGAATTTTGTTTAAAGCTTTTGTGTTGATTATGGTCTCTGTTTGGCTTCACCGTCTTGGTTATTATTATTAATTTTTTATCACATGCCTTGCTTGGTTCATAATTGGTCTATAACTGTTACCAGTCTAGGGGTTATCATAGCAGAATTAATCATGTCTTCCTCGTGGGCTCGTCACTTTTTCAAACAGACACTGCTATTATGGCCCTGAATCCATTTCACCATGTGTTCTGGGGTTGTCAGTCTTTTGACTTTGACTCCCCATCTTTGTTTCCCCAGCACCTAGCTTTTGTAGTTGCTCATTCCATCCATTACGTGTTTTGAATGAGTAGCATTTGTCTACCCTTTACCCTTTCCGGGCAGCTTCAAATCTGTTTCCTTTGGACTTTGTCACCCTGTGAAGAGTAGGTATTTTTCCTCTATTTCAGTTTTTTGATTTTTCTTTATTTTTTAGAAAGTTCATTATTAGAGGCTTAGGAGAGCTTATGGGGCTCGTACGTGTATCTAGGGTGGAAGTGAACTCAGGTCATTTTCCTCTGAATCCCTGGTTCTTTGCCTTACAAAGTTCTTAAACTAGAGTCCACAGAGGGCATTACCTGGGGAACTTACTAAATATGCCTGTTCTCGGGGAGGAAGAGCGCTGCTCTTGTCGGCAGCGGTTTCAGTGGATCTAGGATGGGCCCCACGGCTGCACATCCAGATACCTGACTCTAATGCACGTGATTCATGGATGGCACCCCACCGCCTTTTGAGAAATCCGTACTCTGCTTGCTCAGAGCTAAGGTTCAGGGCAGTTAAGAATATTAAACCTAGGAAAAAAGAAGCACTGTTTGGCTTGTGTTTGATTGAAAAACATCAACTCTTTCACTCTAAGATACGTTTCAGAGTATGAGCATTATTAGAGTCCTTCCCCTGGCACGTGGGTACCTGGAACCCACAACGTACAGAATAGCTTTCTGCGGCAGCTGTAGTTGCTCGTCCTGAGACACAGCCTGGATGTTCTGAGCCCAAGTTGGGGATGCGCCTTCAGGATGCTGAGACCGCCCTGGAATGGATCGGAGCAGAGACCGTGTGGAGGGTCCTGTACTCCTTGTGACAGCAGTCCTTACTGCTGTTCATCACTGTGAAATTCAAGACCATCTACCTTCTCAGTGGGTCATCTGTCACTGCAAGGTTTATCTGAAAGTCCTCGAGTGTGGGCGTGAACTGGTGGCTGCTCTGATGTGACGTAGGCCCTGTAGTTCACGCCTTTCGCTCAGAAACACTAGTGAGCGCCTGCTCTGTGGCAGGCACCGTGGAGCAGTCTCATGAAAAGGTACTCTTTGAAAGAGCTTCAACCTAATTTTCACGTGACATCCTCTATTAGTCAAGCAAATTGGGGCTCACTCCTCCTCCCCAGCTAGTTGCTGACTCATGTTGAACTACTGAGTGTGTGCCCTTGTCAGGCTGTGGTAGCTTGGGGTGTCTTGGCCAGGCTGGGACGGCCAGGGCTGTCTGGGGAGTTGGAGGAGTAGGGGGAGGGAGAGGGGCCTTTCCCATTCGTGATTTCCTTGGCTCCTGGCGTTACAGGGGTGGACATGGAGATGGATACCAGCTTTCTAAATTCTAGGTGGGAGTTCAGAATGCATTTTCCACAATATAAGCCTTTTAGTTTGAGGTTATAAAGATTCTTTTTATCGTTTAGCAACAACTTCTTTATGAAGGTGCGAGCTCTCATCAGTAGGGAAAAGAGTGAAAAAATAATTTGAAGCCCAAATACCTTCAGGGTTGAATTTATTGCTGTGGCTTGTGTTGTGACCCCCACCTTCATTGTTGTGGAAAAATGCCTTCAGGATTAAAAAAAAAATAATGGACCATTAGAATAGATTGTTACAACATTTAATTTTGTAGATCTCAGATTCCCGTTGTCGTCCTTTTTTTTTTTTTTAAAGAATAGTATTTTCCCTCTAAGAAAATGGAGTTTTTTGTTTTTGTTTTTTTTAAGATTATTTATTCATTTGAGAGAGAGTGTGTGTGCACAAGCAGGGGGAGCGGCAGAGGGAGAGGGAGAAGCAGACTCCCCACGGAGCAGGGAGCCCAGTGGGGGGCTGGATTCCGGTACCTGGGGTCATGACCCGAGCTGAAGGCAGATGCTTAACTGACTGAGCCACCCAGGTGCCCAAAAGTTAAGGTTTAATCAGCAAAATAATAGGATTTTGGGTGGCCTCATTAACTAACTGAAGGAATTTTTTTTCCTAATGTGGTCCAGAAGTGTGAGGTTGGGTTATTCACCACTCGAGTGCTAGTTGGCCTTGCTGAGATCTGATTTCCCAGAAGCTTATGCCTTCCATTGAATATTTGGATCTCTGTCATCCTGGTGTGTACTGTCTGCTCCCCATCTAGCCTTTGAGCTGTGGCATGAGGGCTGCCATGTCCACAGTGAACTGGCTTGACCGTTAAGCTTGCAGTGCGGCTCTTACTTGGTGTTTAATCGGTTCTGTTAAGGAATTCAGACATTTTTCCTCTCCAGCACAGGGTACTTTCCCTTACTGAGGGAGAGCAGAAGATGGCTCTCCAGACTCATGTTTCCATCTGTGGCTTCTCTGAAGCTTGAAACCTAATACGTCAAGTTGGCTTCTTGCCTGGAGAAGGCCTTCTGGCAGCTCCCTGAGGGGCCTGAGGAGCAGGCAAACCCACTTAGATACTTGCTAGGGTGTGTGGACAAGACTGGCTCCTTCTCTCAAGAGTGGACTCAAATTGGCCAAGCATGCAGAGAATGATGTGTAATCAGAAGAGCAGTTCATTCAGTGGTTAGTGAGAAAGCAGATGGCAAGTAAACCAGGAGCCCAAATCTGATGCTCAGGCCCATCATTCCTTTGGGCTTACCAATTTGGGGAGCTGGAGTTTCCCCTGATGGTGGCCTGTTGAGTCCGAGAAGGGGGAACTAGTTCGGTGCTTCATCTGTTGAGCATCCTGATGGCTCCCACACTGGGTAAGGGAAAGGTCTCGGTGCTGCAAGCCCATAGAGATGATGTTACCTGGCTCTTTACATGGTCCTTTTTCTTTTTTTCTGGCTTGTGGTTTAACAGGGTTCTGTGCTAGTTCTTTCAGGTGGTAGTTGATGGTGAGAGAGAGAATGTGTGTGTGGGGCTCTTCCGTGAGATATTTAGATATTTTGTACTTGTCTCATAACCAGTAGTCAGCAGATAACTTTGTTTCAATTTAGAGATGATCATTAATCTTTGCTTGTCTCCTTTCCCCTCTAGTTCCCTGTAAGACATAGACACAGGATTCTCCAGGAAACTCCAGCTTGACCTGTAGCCACAGTCCCCCTTCCCTAACAGACTTCCACCCAGGTGTAGACCCAGGGACGCCCCTTGTGAGGGGTTGTTGGGTCTGTAGAATTCTCACCCAGTGTGGACCGAGAGAGAAGAAAGTCCATGGGGGTAGGTAGTTGACTTTTTAATCAACTCCACCCAATTGAGAATCTCACCAACCAGCTCTGAGGCGTGGGGAGTGAGGCAGAGCGTATTTGGCTGGTGGAAGTCTCCACGGGGAAACGCAGCCCCTGGATGGAGGCGCTGTGCTGAGAGCCGTGAGGACCGCAGCTGGGGAGAGGCCTCTTGAGGGGGAAATCCCGGCAGGGCTGCGTCGCGGGCATGGTGTGGCGAGTGGCACCTCCTCCACTGCA